AGGATAAATGTACTACTACTATATTGCTAAACAGACTTAATGTCTCTCTTCTTTTTAGATGTCTAGCTCCATAATCATAGACTAGTTCATCGATCAGTTCTCATCAGAGAAGCATCTTTGTGCAGTGGATAGTGGCTAATATTGGCTCACAACTAGCCAGATGTTAAGAGCAAATATCTATGGAATATTCAGCCATAAATGGAATATAAATATTACAGTGCTTTCCTGCAAGGCTCAGGGAATATCATAAAAGAGGGAGCAGAAAAATGATAAATAGAGCAAGTTGAGGAGGAGTGGGACAAAACAATGTCATGTGTACCTGACAGGACCACCGCACACATGACCTTAAAGCAGCTACGGTTGTCTGCACGAGACTTGTACACGATCAAGTCAGTTAGCATTCCATAATGGAAGGGGAGAGGCACACGCCTCCAAACCAAGCTGAGGTACTACTGAGAGCTGATGGCTGCTAGGGGAGGGAGAGTCAGTTTCTTTTAGGCATGTGCTCTCAGGTGCCTTCACCATGCTCCACTGAGTGTCCACAGAACATATATGCCTGCCATTAATGGGATTCAGTGGCTTGTAAAGAATAGTAGAAAAAGAAGACACGAAAGAATAGTAGAAAAAGAAGACACGAAATTGAAAGGGGTACACAGAAGATTGGGCTGAGTTGGGGGATGGAAATGGGGTATATGACAAAGATGCATTGATTGTTTGTGAGCAATTTTCAAAGAATAAATAAAAATGTAGTAGGGACTGGAGAGATGGCTCAGCAACTAGAAGTTCTTGATGCTTTGAAGAACATGGGATCCAACACTGTTTCTATTGTCCATAGGCACTCATGCACATGCACACACATGTGTGTGCACACACATGCACACACATGCACACACATACACACACACACACACACACACACACACACACACACACACACACCTAAATAAAAATAAAATAAATCTTTAAAAGCAGCAATTGCTATCTACTGAGGCCACTCCTACTTGGTGGCAATAAGGACATTTTCTCTATTTCTGTAATGAAAAGAAAGAGGGATGTTGAGTAGCTCCATGGTTGCTGACAGTGTAGTATTCTATAACCAGCTGACTCTATTACTTTCAGATTCCACAAATATGAACAGGATGTTTCTGATGGCAATGAGGAATGGAAAAGTGACAGAGACCTTCTGTCCACCTAACCCTAGCAAACATGAAAAATAGTTATATGTAAAAGGGAGGGACAAAGGATAGGAAAAGCTTCTATTTCCTGATCTATGTTTATGTTCAGAGAGCTATCTTGCTTCCATTTCAGTATCATACATTATACTCTAGTGGTTCATCTCTAACTCCTAGGTAAGTTTTTCTTGCTTATATATTTGCTTCTCACCATTGAATTCACACTCATCCCAAGCTGTGTTTCTCACTCACAAATTCTTTTCCATCTTGACCCTTTTGGACTTGTAATGTCTGTCAATTTCTATCATATGGAAACCACACTGAAGCTCATCTTCCTCTTCCATGTTGTGATATTGTATCCAATTCCTTTCCCCAAGGACTCGGAACCCCCTTTCTTTTGAATCCATTTCCAGAGCACTCAACTCATGACGTAGGCAATTGGGTAGCATATGGTACTTGGTTTCCATATAATAAGTAGAAACCCTGGAATCTAGTTCAATGTCTATGGATTGAGCAGAGTCAGTAAATGTTATTTAAAAACATGAAGCATAAAATTTTCAGAAAAGCAGATTTTGGATAAAGCCAGTTTTGTTAACAGAGTAAACAAACACAGAACAAGACTTTTTTTAATGTAGGAAAAGGTTTCATTTTGTGTGACTAACTCTAGTTTATTATTAGAGAGATTTTTTTTAATAGGTAGGGAGTTGGTCTAAATATACTTCTATTTTTCCCAACCCTTAAGTTCATAATTACTAGATTCATTATCTGCTTATGACTGAAGATTAATCTTATGTCTGCATTGCTCAGAAAGTTGTCCTGTTTATATAGGAAATAGATTTGCTGTTTATGATAGATATTAGACCAGTATCATAATAACCTTGCCTTTGAAGAGCAACCTGTTTACGTAGTCAACTAACTTTTGCTGTAAGGTTTTATTGAGGCAGCTGAGACAAAGAAATAGAACTTCAGAGACTTATGGAACAAGGCCCTCGTGATGACAAAAGGCAGTGTGTTAACATCTTCAGAAAGGCTCCAGTGATGAGAAAGAGTAATGGTGCCAGCAAGCAGGGAACCTGGGAAGAAAGTTTGCTCTAAAAGACAGGGTTTTTGCTTCTAGAGAAGATTTTTCCAAGGAAAGGGAGGGTGGCTGTTAAAAAAAAAAAGGCAAATGAAAAAGAATCTTGTGACTCTTAGCAAAACTGTAAGAAGAAAAGAAACATTAACCTGCTTTCACTTGAGACAAAAGGTGGTGGGGACTCCTGCACGGAGGTAGTTCCCTCCTGGACTCTGATTAGGCACAAACCACACCCAAACACCTGTTTTCACAGAGATGGAGAGAAAAATTAAAGTGGCTGCTTTCAGATTCGGGGAGGGGGGGGAGTAGCAAATGACCTTGCAGTTGTGATTTTCAAGAGAAAAAGGCATGGTCTGTGTTAGAATGGGCTAGCTAGGATGTGGTGGTATGCTTTGGTTGGGCATGTTAATTAGGTGAACTAAAGGGGACTTTTGATTGCTGGACTTTGGTACTCATCCTCAGGAATGAGTCTGGCATAAAAAAAAAGTGTCCAAATAAGGGAACAGACCTTGGTGACTAGCTTTAGGAATGTAATCTAATGGTTTACCAAGGCAGAGGGAATGGGGGAGAAGGGTAAGGCCTGCCAGAGCCATGTTGGCCAGGCTGGGACTAGTCAGAGTTCCTGCAAAAGGATCAAAGTAATCTGCTGTGTATCTAGGAAAAAGAAACAATGGTTTAAGACTTAAACTTCTGTCTTAGTTACTTTTCTACTGCCATGATAAACACCATGACCAAGGTAACTTATAAAAGAAAGCCTTTAATTCAGGGCATATGGTTCCAGAGAGTTAGTCTGCGACCATCATCAGAAGACAAGCATGGTGCTGGAGCAGTAGCTGAGAGCTTAAATTTGATCCACAAGCAAAAGGCTAAGGGAGAGAAAACTAATGGGAATGGTATGAGCTTTTGAAATCTCAACCCCACCCCACCCCCAGTGACACAGCTCCTCCAAAAAGGCCACATCTCTTATTCCTTTCCAGTTTCACCAAGTTCAGACCAAGCATTCAAATATATGAGGTATGGGGTCATTCTCATTCAAACCACAACACATTCTGACTTTTCTTTGTTTTATATTTTATAGAATTTTATCATTTATGTTGACTGGTGTGGCTTCTATCTATAAGCGTTTTATTTTCTCTGCATTATTTTCACTTTTCTAGGAACATTTATGGATGTCTGTTACGGTGTAGACATTAAGCAAGACACTAAGCATTTTAAGGTGATTAGGACATGGTCTCTTCACGTGGACCTGGTAAGCTGAACATCACAGAAAACTCATGTTGGTATTGTGGAATGTTTAAAAGGCAAGGCTTTGGGAAAATACAGGAATGCTCATTTTTATTATATCCTGTGTCATCCATATGAGATATGGCACAGATAAATGAAAATCTGATCTTCAGTTCCTTTGCCTGAATGAGTTGTTGAGAAGAAAGGATACTTGATAAGTACATACATATCTAATGTGAAAATAGTGCTGAGTACAGAGTGCATTCTTTGTAAGTAGCTACTGTGACTAATTCCACTTTAGCACTCTGACAATTACTCTAGAAAAAGATTTATATGTATGTGTTATAGTTATATATAGTTGAATATATATATATATACATATATATTATATTAATACCATCTTGAACAAGACTAAAGAAATCATTAGGAGAAGCATTTCTCATTTGGGCCTTAAAGAATTAATTCAATTTCTTTTGTGAAAGAAGACAATGGTATTCCTAGCTGAATGCCTGAAAAATAATTTGAGAAATATCATTCACTAAAGTGATTGCTACACAATATTGTCAGAAAGACCCAGATCTGAGCAATCTCTCCCCTGTGACATTCTCAGGTCTTTTATATTCTGATCCCTATCCCAGAAGTTAGTCTAAATGGATGCCATCAGAATGTTCTAGTGCCTTCGTGGCTCCAGTAGGCTCCAGTGTGAGGAAACTCTGGGAAATAGCAGAGGAAGTTGAAAAAATTACCAAGTCACTTAGTACCTTGCTTCTTTCCATAGAAAGTGGTCACCAGCTGGCACTAGTGTTGAGAAATGCCACACTGCTCTTGACCACGTGACCTTTGAACTGCTTTCTCTCTAGGTTCTAAGGACCATTCTCCTCCTCTTGCTTTGCGTCTATGCAGAGCATCAAGTCTTGGGGCAAGAGTTCCAAGATTCTGTGATGTCTCTTTACCCTTTTCCCATGTCCTCTGCAAATCATCACAACTCATTTTCTTTGAGAATTAACTCTTTCAACGTTTTCCTATTTTCAGAATATTTTTCTATGCTTTGTTAGAACGTTATTGATATAAGTATTGATTGCTTTATTAAGAACTTTATTCATTGTTAATTTATTTTCTCACCAAACAAATATTCATTAACAGTTTTGTTAACTGCTCTCTGATCTTGTAGATGGTCTTCTGTGGGATAAATGCAAATAAGTAACAATTAAGATGTAGTATAAGAGATGTTAAAGAGAGTGAAAGTGTTTGAACTACATACAAAGACACCTAGTCTGAACACTGTTGGGTGACAAACATATAATGTGAAATTTCTGTAGTGGGGGGAAAAAGCACTGAGCACAGTAGATAAGAGAATACAGATTTTTAGTTTATAACTATTTATATATCATTTATAACTATATGATATCTAAAAGATAGCAGGGATTGAAACCTAATGGTTTCAGATACACCCAGTAACAAATAATGAGTTACAGAAGCCTCTGTTGAAGGCTTTCTTTGCAATCACAATCTCACCTGATTTGGATATGGTCCTTCTTTTAGAGGAATTTAGTCTCATTGGAGTCCATTTTAATTCTTAGTTGATGGAAGGAATAAAATAAGTGACAATATGCAGCTGCCTAGTACAATCCAGGTACCTTGCTCTCTGGTTTATTTATATTCTGTGTATCAAAAACAGCAGTATTTTCATTTGCTGACTTAGTATTTCAGTCTTTTCAAAAACTAGGTTTAGTGTTTTCATAAACTAGGTTTAGCCAGCCAGTGGCTTTTCTGAGGGGAAGCCAGGAGTAATATGAAAGTCAATAGAAATCAGGAATCAATATGTGACCATCTCACACACAGACAGAATCTATTTTCACTAGCATGGTATTATTTTAATAGGTTAAAAAGAGTCAGCTTTGCAGTAGCCCTGGAAAGTTTAGACTGGGCTTCGGGGTGACAGTTTATGAATGCCTATTCAAATACATATACACAGTGATGCTCAAATCAGAGAAATACCTGCTCCTTCTCAGTGTCTCAGTGAGGAATCCGTCCTTCAGAATCCTTACTTTACCTGTCAAACATTTACACTTGACCTGTACCTTCAAACCCATTCATTCAAAAATTGCTACTTCCATGAAACTGTTTTTTTTTTTTTTTTTTTTTTTTTGCTAATTGTCCTGGTCACTCTGGCTATTACTAATCTTATCCTATAACGATATAGTTTGTATGACATTGATTGATTTTCTAATGTAATTATTTGCTTCTCTCTGTGTGTCTCTGTCTCTGTCTCTGTCTCTCTTTGTCTCTCTGTCTCTGTCTCTCTCTCAGTGTGTGTCCGTCCTTATTCTATGTTGTGGCTAAGTATTCTCTTTAAAACAGGGACCGGTTTTTTGATTTACTCTTATCCTTGGTACTCAGAAGTGAGTAGATACTCAGAAGAGATTTATTAGTTCACTGATTCTATTTTGGACGTGAGAATTGGTGAGGAATATGGGACCAACATTTACACATCTGTTGTGTGCTAGGCACAACGATGTTGCTGTATTATGCGTGTTCCTTTTTTCTCCTTTGGAGAGCTTCGTTAAAAGTATTTCCTAGTAGAAAAGACAAGCAGGGAGAAGGGGCAGAGAAGAATGGCATGGTGAACTTCAAAATATCTATTGGATAGTAAATAATAACAATGTATTTGGTGTTTTTTTTAGTTTATATATTTTTAAGGATTTTATACATGAGTATTGTGTTTGCAAATTTCCACCTCTCGCTCTCCCCATTCCATTCCTCCTGTGTCCTTTTCTATTTCATCTCAAGTTCATGGTCTCTTCCTCTTCATTATTGTTACACACACATGAGCATGCACACGTGCACACACACTACAACCTGCTGAGTCCTTTTAGTGTTGCTCTTATTTTTCTGTGTTTAGTCTGGATTAGAAAATCAATGAAAAGGTTCATCCTGAAGAAAACTGATTCTCTATCTCTCAGTGCACTATGTGTATTCTAATTAGTGTTCTCAACAGCAGAGGGGGGGAAGTATTATTATTATTATTTCCAGTTGAACGGAGATTTTTACAAGGGAAGTAATTGGATTAGGTTGTCATAACTTGTCATTGCCATATCTCATCTCCAAACTTGGGACATCTTGAACCCAAAGCTCATCTGTTTCCAAATCTGCCTTTGTACCCTGTCATCACACACACGTCATAGTGGGTGCTGTGATGTGTCACTCAGATTCTTCTCCAGGACTGAGACCCATGAGCTAAAATTGGTGGTCATTGAAACAAATCCTAGCTGAAGAAAGCGTTCTCACTAGTCATGTCCCTTTCTAGGACAGTCACATTTGCAGGCTGCTTCAGGTGAGAACACAAAGGACGAGCCTCTTGTTCCACTGTTGAAGCACTATGGGTAGCACCCCAGCTCTGGAGATGCTGACAATATTGCTAAGGCTGGGACTATATTACAAGTCAACATTCCCCACTACATATCCCTGCTCTCTTCACATTAACCCTACCTCACTCATGCTTAGCTCATGATCTCCCCTCCATAAATTACTTCTCTACTTCAGAGTCTGCTTCTAGCAGAGCTGGTTTGGACCTATGTAATGTTATAATTTCAATGGTTGTCAGAAAACAAGTTCCCTGGTTTTACTCACCCATTTTATTATTCCTTTAAAGAAATTTGACAGCCTCAATTAATAGTAAAGCTATTATCAGTAGTAAATTAATAGTAACGAGGTTGTGAGGACTGCCTTTTGTTACCATTTATTTTCAATTCCAAATAAAATAAATTCCTAATCTGAACAGCATTGAATAGGCTTTGTTGTCATCAGTAAAGCAATGCCCTTCAATTGATAGAAACAATATAACGATTCCCACTCTTGCCCACAGTCAAGGGCAAAGTGAAAGTTATTTCTATTCCATTAAGTTACTGAAAAATAAACTTAAAATTGTGGAATAATTTTTATTTTTCTTATTTATGTTAGTGTGTATGTTGAATCAATGTGTGAATAGCACATGCACATGCATGCAGTGGAGATCAGAGGAAGACACTGTCAGTCACTTTGTCTTTGTTTCGAGATAGGATCTTTCACAGATTTAGCTAGGATGGATGGCCAGTGAGCTCCAGGGATCTCCCTGAACCCCATCCCCAGTGATACTAAAATTACAGATTCATGCTGTCATACCTGACTTTTGTGTTGGTGCTGGGCATCTGAACTGAATCACTGAGCATGGTAAGCCCTTTCCTGGCAAAACCATCTACTCAGCCCTGCTAACTTTTCTATTACTTTGATATATACATTCTGCTTTGACAAACTATAAGGAAGATGGTGTCATGGCTATTCTTGGTTGTCCACTTGTCTGCATCTGAAGTGAAAACCCCCAAATGGAGGGCATACCTGTGAGGGAAGTTTTGCTTTGTTTAACATGTGCAGATTCACTTGTAGTCTGGACTTTTGAAGTAGGAAGACACATGCTTGATACAGATCTCGAGGCAGGAAGATACACCTTTATCTAAGCCACACCGTCTGCTGGAACCCTATATAAGGACAAGGGAGACAGAAGCTTTTGCTCTTTGCAGGCTGGCTCTCATCTTGTTAGTAAGTCCACTCTTTCACTGGTGTTAGAACCTACTTCTTTGGCATTCCAGTGTCTACTGAAGACCAGCTGAGATAGCTAGCCTCATGGATAGCTCGTGGACTGAGCAACTTCTGGATTCTTGGACTTTCCATTCATAGCCAGCCATTGATTGTTGGGTTAGTTGGGCCACAGCCTATAAGTATTTCTAATAAATCCATATCTATATCAATCTGTATATATATATATATATATATATATATATATATATATATATATATATATCAGTCTATCTAGATAGATATAGCTCTATCTTGATCTATCTATCGTCTATCTATCTATCTATCTATCTATCTATCTATCTATCTATCTATTTATCTATCTAACTATCTAGATTCATCTTATAAATTCTGCCACTCCAAATAGAGAACCCTGACTAATACAGATGGTATTGCATTTACAGAACAGGAATCAAGACTCACAGGCACAGTAGTATGTTTGGTGTAGAACATAGATGTGCCTGTAACCTGATTCTGATTAACAGGCCCATGAGTATACTTCCTACTCCACTGAAGACTGTTGGCATTAAATCTCAGACAATATTTGTGAGGATAATTTCTCAGGAAATAGGAGTATGATTCCATTTCAAAGAATTTGAGACTCCCCAGTCATTGCTTGTGAATTCAACATTTCTTTGAATTCATCTTGTTCATGCCTTTTAAATGTCAAAACCTGACCAGATGATGGTTCGGCCTAATCAAAAAGACATTGTGAATCTCAATCCTGCCGTGCATGTGTAGACACAGTTACTGTCTTATCCCAGGTGAGAATCACACTGAAAATGGAGAATCAAATGTGTAGTTCCCAGTAACCATATAGATGACCTCTTACTAATGCAATTTAGTGGTGATTGCTAAGGCATTTCAAAAGAAGGACAAAGCACAAATGTGCAGTGAGAAATTGCTTTCTGATTCTGTTGGGAAACAATGAACCCTTGACCCAGACACAGATTTATCTTAGGAAAAAAATGGGAGGAGAAAAAAAGAGCCCAATATCATTAGGAAATCAGAAATAACCTTTCACCTACAGGAACTCAAATTCTGGACAAGCAACTGAAATAGAGTGAAGACAGAGGTGAAGACACACGTGAGCAAGAGGGTCAATGCAAGCGACTGTGTCTCACTAATTTTTACTTTGCTTTTTCTCCATGAAGTTATATGCAGAAGAAAACCCACTTTACCTCTCTCTCCTTTTTCCCACTTAGCCCAGAAGCATCTAATATCTCCTAGCTAGTAAACTGATGAGCCTGAGCCTGTGCCTGAGGCTTTAGGTTTCATTTGACTGACTTTTTAGGCTTCTATTTTCTATCTTTTTCTTCACTCTATTCTTTTCTTCTAGACATGCTACAGTAAGAGCTCACAGAGTACCACCATGCCTTGATGCTGCATCCCAGATTCCAACATAACTACGCAGTCCTATCCATGCAGCATAATTGCTCTTACAATGCAGTGTCTGTAAGGGAAAAGAGTGGAGGGGACCATTGTGTGTGATTATGTGCCACATGACATGGAACAAAGGGGACTAGCTGGGCTGGCTGTTGCAAGTGGTTCACAAAGCTCTGGAACTTTCTGCACTTTGTTCAGGAACCACAAAAGAGGCAACACCAGCTCTCAGAAGCAGACAGGGGTGACAAGCATTGATAGTGCCATTATCTCAAGATAATGCTAAGCTGATAACATATTTGGTCATGGCCTAGACTTTTATTTCCCATGGAAATATGAGTTTCAAATACCACAATCTATCACAGAATCTCAAGGGGACTGCACATTTTATAATGTATTAAATTCTTGTAAACTGCCACTGTGAGGACAGGAAATCTAATTTAGGGAAAATATTCCAGCATAATAAGGAGGTTAAACTGAGGTGGGCACATTAGGGACACACTGGCTTTCTGGCTGACTATTTTCTTAATCAAAGAACATGTCAGTGGGAAGGCCACCAAAAATGATATGGGATTCAGAGCTGTCAGTTATTAGATGCACATCGCAGGTAAATGAATATTTGGTGATGGGCTTCTGCTACTTGGATCCTGACAGCTTATGCAATGACACTTTGGCGCTACAAATGAGCAGAGATCAGATTCTTTGTCATAGTCAACTGAATATCACTATTCTGCTGCCACTATGTGGGTAAGAGTCTGTGTTAACTCTTTCAGACACCAAGGGATGCTTATCAAAAATATGTTTTCTCTAGAAACTGACCAGTTGTTGGATGGCAGGCAGAGAGAGTCAATGGTTGAAACACAGATTTAAGTACATCCCATCTTCTCTTCTCCCTCCTTTCTCTTGTTTCTCTTTCTCCTCCTTCTCGTCCTTCACCTTCCTTTTTCCATCCCTCTCCTTCTCTCACTTTACCTCTTATTACTTCTTTTTTACTAAGGAGCTACAGTCTGTAAGAATCAGTGGGTCCAGTTTAAGCTTGTTTCTGGCAGTGTTTCTCTCAGAAGCTAAGGGCTGCCTTCATTTTTTTGTTTGTGTATAATTTAAAGTCTATTAACTTCTAAAGGCTATCAAATTTCACAGAATATTCTTTATATAATCACTGCCCAGGTCAAATGCAAATGTGGCTGTTAGTTTTGCAGTCACTCAGAAAACCTAAAAATGAAAAATTACCATTTTTATTTTTAATATAAATGAGTGACATCTCTTAGCATCGCTTTCAGAAGCCCTGTAGCACACACCATCAGATTATGCCACAAAGAAGCAAGAACACTCATGTTAAGGTCTAGTTCACTGAATCCTATCAGTCATCAGTCATGAAAGAACAATTTCTCACAAGGGCCTGTTTAGAAAATGAACCTATTCTGAGTCAGAAGCTTGAGCCTAGACAGTTACCATCAAGGCCACTAATGATAAGATTTAATAGACACTTGAAAACATTTGCTTAGATAAAAGGCTCTGTAATTGTTTTTAAACAGTTCAAGTGGATTCATGCCTGGTGGTCTTTTCTTTCTTTCATTTTTAAAGTGATACTCTCTGGGACATGAAAAATATTCTCCGTAGACAGCACTGTCAGGATCTTACTGTGAACAAGGGGGGATGTTGGAAAGTGCACCAAGCTGAGAGCTTTATCGGTAAGACAGTGAAGAAAAAAAAAAAGGTTCAGATCTCTACCAATTTAAACTTTCAGGCATGTTACCACCCACACTCTCCACCTCGGCTCCAAGTTCTAGAAGATTTACCAAAGCTCAGCCAGGTAGCAGCAACACTGATGGAGTTTCCTGGGTTGCTGCTATTCCTAGGGTCCCCAAGGACACAGCTAACTGAACAGCAACAGAAATGTTCTGAAGACACAGTGTTGGTTTGATTCTCAGCAAGAAGAACAGTGGGGCTTCCCGGAGGAAAGTTTGAAGAATAGTCTTTGGCCTGATGAATTTGAACAAACATTAGGTATGCCTGTGTGGTTGAGAAATAAACAGCAGATTTAAAATAAGGTATAAAGAGTACCCTTAAAATTATTCAAACTGGTGGTGATTGTGTTGGGGCTGCTGTCACAGAGTGTATTTTCCTTACATGCCGAGATGAAGGAAATCACACACACACACACACACACACACACACACACACACACACACACACGCAAGCACAAATACACACATTTACAATTACACATATTTGAACTCCTATGTGCTGAGAGAATGCACCCATATGGTTAACACAATGGTCTCCATAACACATTGAAGAATCATTTATGAACCTGCTTCTTAGGATGAAAGCTGCACATGCCCTGCATTGTGGCCCCTTAAATATCATATAAATTACTTCATTTGATGCCAGTGGAAAATAGTAGTCTATTGTCTCATTGGGGAAAAAAAATCTAATGCAGTTTGATTTTGACAGAGGGCTTAACACCAAGTGGGTGATTGATACTACTTTTAAGGGTAATTTTCACTTTGGAACCCAAATTCTGCCCAGGAGCCACTGACTATGCTCCATCCTATGTGCCAACTATGCTGTTCAGAAACAAGTTTTGAAAACAGAATTAGGTGAATGCTGTTCCAAAATACTTAGTTCATAGCTCATACTTATGACCATTGGATATAGCTCCTGTTCCTATTTATACTCTACTGAACAAATAGCAAATCCAAGATAAAGACACAATCTTTGTACTTAAACTTCTCCCAGAATGATCACCTATGGACTTCATTTACTTCATATTATTATTTCTCTCTCCCTCCCCCCACCACTGAAAACATAAACATATATATCATATCCTAACTGATTCATTCTCTAAATGTGCATAGACAATATGTTAAAATTAATTTTAAAAAGCTTGAAAGTAAAATATACTCAGGAGACTGACTGCTGAAAAAGAAGTGTTCTAATCTCCTCAAATTAAACTTTCATGTGTCATGACTCTTGCACAGAGAGCTTTGAACAAAGGAATCAATTTCATGTGAGCTCCATTAGTCACTCTGGCTGGCATGATAGACTAAAATAAGTTGAAACAGGCAGAAGCAAGTCCTGTGAATCATAAACTATTTCTTTATTTGAAAAATTCTAATACCCTGTGTGGCAGTGATCTGGGATCCCCGCTACAGGACTTTATGAAACCATTGTAAACATTCATTGGAATGGTCCACTCCACCTTACAGAGCCATCTTTCAATAAACATCACATCATTAGCCACAATTACACACAACATACTACAAAAGAATGTGTATGCTTTATGCCATTTTTCAGTAAACAACTTAAGAAAAGATCAGAGTGACTTGGTCCAAGAAAATGACCTCAATATGTGTCAGTCTGGATACCCAATGTTTGTCAGTACATGTCTCCACAGTGTTTCTTGTGCCAACAAGTCGGTGCTTGCACTAATAAGGGATAATTTCTATCTATTGAGACCATCGCTACTCTTTGCACATTTTTGACATTCATTTGCAGCCACTAAAAGTTAAATTTA